TACTGCACTCTAACCACTGCGCCACCTCTGCTCTTTGTATATATCTACAATTGTATAATCTATCCCCAGCACTTCCTGATATATTTCATAGTAACCTTTCCATTTCACAAAATTTTTATTAGTTGCTCAAAATATAAAATACAGAAGTGCAAAGAAAAATGAAAATAATGGTAGAAGGGAGGAAAAGGAGGAGCGAGAAAAGAGTAGGGTTAAGGAGAAAAGAAAAAAAAAAGCATTGACTTCTGACTCCTTTTGGTGCACTAGAATAAGGTACTAATATAAAACCTCAACTATTTACTTTTATATGATAATATAAAGTAGGCACTTTTATAACAACAAAATTATCTAATCAACAAAACCCAAAATCAAACTTTCATTTTTTATCTCAAGATCGAAGTCCAAAAGCAGTTTCCATGTAGAAACAAAATAGTGTTCTTTTCTTAAATCAAAGCAATCACTTTAGCTATCTCTGCTAATGCCATCAGGTTTTTCATCCATTCATCCATTGTGGGAATGAAAATATCCTTCCATTTTTGTACCCAAAGCATTCTTGCATCCATCGACATGTATAACATCTATGTTCCATTCTTTTCAACTTCTTTATCCATTAAGCCTAATAAACTATCTAGTTTTATTTTATATTCACTTTAATAGTCTTCTGTATTAAGATGTGTATCTTACTTCATTTCTTTTGCTTTGTGACATGCCAATCATAAATGATAAAAAGCTCTTCTTTATATTTCCAAAATTCATTGCCTTTATATGATTCCCTAACCATATCATACCATAAATAGTTGTGCCTTCAAAATCTTAATTCATCACCCTCTACTCAAGTAACTTCTTGGAGAGTCACCCACTCTTTTTGCCAGACAAAACAAGGATCAAAGTACAATTTCAAATCTGGTAAACCCAGCCTCCTCTTTCCTTACCGTCTTGGAATAATTTATATTGTTTATTCCCTTGCAATATATACTTAGAGATCTCCAACTGCCATTGTTTAAATGGAGTATCACTTACAAGTATTGGTAAAGTCTGAAACAGAAAATGTATCTTTGGTAATTCAGGTGCTGGAGGCTAAAACATACAAAGAATGGTTACAGGAATTGGGTATGTCTAGTCTAATGAGAAGTATTAGCGGAGACATAACAGCAGTGTTCCAGTATCTCAGGGGCTCCAATAAAGAAAAAGTCAAGTCCATCTATTTTCCAAAGTATCAAAAGAAACAATGGATGGAAACTAACCAAAGAGAGATGCAACATAGAACTAAAGAGAAAATTCCTAACAATTACAGCAATGAACTAATGGAATAACTTGCCTTCAGAAGTTTTGGGTGCCCCATCACTGGAGGCTTTCAAACAGAGATTCAACAGCCACTTGTCTGAAATGGTAGAGCAAAGAGTAGGCTAGAAGACCTTCAAAGTCCCTTCTAATTCTATTATCTATCTATCTATCTATCTATCTATCTATCTATCTATCTATCTATCTATCTATCTATCTATCTATCTATCTAAAAGCAAAATATCACTCATGCATCATGACAAAATCTCCAGAACTGTAGAGCCTATAAACTTGAAATTTGTCACATATATTCCTCTTGGCTTCTAGGTGCTCACTAAGAAAGGATTTTTCAAAATGACCGTCAGAGGATTAGTACTTCCTATATTATTATTAACACGCTCTGATGCTAAGGAGTTCTTCTCCCCCTCCCCACCTGAAAAAAAATCTGTTCCAAATGCAAAACACAAGCAGAGGAGAGGAGTTTCAGTTTTCCTTTCACAGCAGCAAGCAGGGGATAGGATAGGGGAGGCTTCTGTTGGACAAGCCTGAGGGAGAAAAGGGGGGTAGGATAGGATAGGATAGGATAGGATAGGATAGGATAGGATAGGATAGGATAGGATAGGATAGGATAGGATAGGATAAGGGAGGCTTCTGTGGGGCAAGCCTGAGGGAGAAAAGGGGATAGGATAGGGTTGGCTTCTGTGGGGCAAGCCTGAAGGAGAGAAGGGGAGAGGAGAAGCCGATCGTAACTACTCATTAATTTTCAAACTGTAAGTGTCGATTTATCATTTATTATAAATTTTATATTTATTATTATTTATCACATAGTTTCATAGCGGAGCACAGGTATTCAGCTAGTTCTGTTATATGTTGTATTCATCTTAATTACAGTGATTCTATCCAATAATTGCTGTACTAAGAATATGTATTGACTCAAGTCAATAAGAGCGTTTCATGGTTGAATGCAAATGTGAACTTCGATCTCTGTAATCTTCAATGTGTGAAATATAATCAATTAAGGTTATTTTAACATTGTGGCATATTTGCTTTCCACCGTTATTGTGCCATATATATTTTCTTTTTCCACATCTTCTGCAATCATTTTATAAAGAATAAAACTTACACATTTCTTTGAATCTTACAGGCAAAGAGGATGCCAGTAAGAGCACTCTGGACAACAGAATAACAAGCAACATTAAAAAGGAAAGCACATCAAGCCAGAAATAAAAATATTTTCCATTTCCTTCAGAAAACCCCGGATGTGGGGGCGATCTGGATGCGACATCTGTCACCCCATTGATCGCCAGGGTTGATTCGGCTGATCTGGCTGGCTAGGCGGGTGTCCCCCTTCCTCCCTCACCGCTCCATGTGCGTCCCTCCCAAAGCTGCGTGCTCGGTGGAAGAGGACGACCATCCCAGATAGAAGGAGTGTACCAATCTTCGGTCAAGGGTATACGATAGCTGCGCTCCCCTGCTAGAACCTCCAAACAAGCTCAAGAAAACCCCAAAATTATTCTTCTTCCCCAGCAGGTGATCAAAAAGAGATTTTGAACTGGAAAAAGTAGAGTATGAAGAACTCAAGGATACATTATATGTAGTCCTCAACTTACAATACTTCATTTAGTGACCGAAGTTACAACGGCCCTGAAAAAATTGACTTATGACTGTTTTTCATACTTATGACTATTGCAGCAGCCCGATGGTCACGTAATTTATATTTGAATGTTTGGCAGCTCCCATTTATGATAGTTGCTGTGTTTTAGGGTTGTGTGATCCCCTTTTGCAGCTCTACAGATGTGCCTATTGTGGGCAAAATGCAGATTTCAAATTACAACTGAGTATGCATGAAATGATCTACATTAGAGAAAAGCAATACTAATGTGGCCAAAGCTTTAGTCAGAACAGCTCCCTTGTGGTTCATGGAAGGACCCACAGAGAAGATCTACAAGAGCTTCCAATGTAGTGAGCTTGGCAACTTGGTGATCCATTAGAGAACTTACACCAGGAAGAAACCTGGTCTCATTGTGGGAAAAGTTTCAGTCTGAACTCCGGTCTGGTGATACACTAGAAGATGTACACAAAAAAGAAATCATATGACTGTCCTGACTGTGGGAAATGTTTCAGTGGGAATTCCAGCCTGGTGAAACACCAGAGGATTCATACAGGAGAGAAACCTTTTGAATGTCCTGACTGTGGGAAAAGTTTCAGTTATAGCTCCTGCCTAGTGACTCACCAGAAGACTCACACAGGAAAGAAACTCTTTGAATGTTCTGATTGTGGGAAAAGTTTCATTAAAAAATACAAGTTCATCAGTCACCAGAGGACTCACACAGGGGAGAAACCGTTTGAATGTCCTGATTGTGGGAAAAGTTTCAGACAAAACTCCAGCCTAGTGATTCACCGGAGGACTCACACAGGAGAGAAACCGTATGAGTGTCCAGTTTGTGGGAAATGTTTCATTGACAATTCCAACCGGGTGAAACACCAGAGGACTCACACAGGAGAGAAACCATTTCAATGTTCTCTTTGTGGGAAAAGTTTCATTACAAAATACAACTTTATCTGTCACCAGAGGACTCACACAGGAGAGAAACCCTTTGAATGTCCAGAGTGTGGGAAAAGTTTCAGTCACAGTTCCCAACTGGTGATACACCAGAGGACTCACACAGGAGAGAAACCATATGAGTGTCCGGTTTGTGGGAAAAGTTTCATTGACAATTCCAGCCTGGTGAAACACCAGAGGACTCACACGGGAGAGAAACCATTTCAATGTGCTCTTTGTGGGAAAAGTTTCAAGCACAATTCCAGCCTGGTGATACACCAGGGGACTCACACAGGGGAGAAACCATATAAGTGTTCGGTTTGTGGGAAAAATTTTGTTTGCAATTCCATCCTGGTGAAACATCAGAGGACTCACACAGGAAAGAAATCATATCAGTGTCCATATTGTGGGGAATGCTTCATGAGAAAATTCCATCTCATGAGTCACCAGAGGACACACACAGGAGATAAGCCCTTTGAATGCCCTTTCTGTGGGAAAAGTTTCAGTCACAAAAGCCGGCTGATGAAACACCAGAGAACTCATACAGGAGAGAAACCGTATGAGTGTCCAGTTTGTGGCAAAAGTTTCAGTGACAATTCCAACCTGGTGAAACACCAGAGGACTCATACAGGAGGGAAATCATATCAGTGTCCATATTGCGGTGAAAGTTTCATTAACAAAATTCAGCTCATGAGTCACCAGAGGACACACACAGGAGACAAACCCTTTGAATGCCCTTTCTGTGGGAAAAGGTTCAGTCATAAAAGCCGCCTGATGAGACACCAGAGAACTCATACAGGAGAGAAACCATATGAGTGCCCTATTTGTGGCAAAAGATTCTGTCAGAATTACAACCTGGTGAAACACCAGAGGGCTCACACAGGAGAGAAGCCCTTTGAATGTCTTGATTGTGGGAAAAGTTTCACTAAGAATTCCAGCCTGGTGAAACACCGGAGGACTCACTCAGGAGAGAAACCCTTTGAATGTCCTCATTGTGGGAACACTTTCATTACAAAATTACAGCTCACAAATCACCAGATGACACACACAGGAGAGAAAGCTTTTGAATGTCCTGACTGTGGGAAAAGTTTCACTAAGAATTCCAGCCTGGTTAAACACCAGAGGACTCACACAGGGGAGAAATTGTATCAGTGTCCTGTTTGTTGATGATTTGGAGAAGGTTTGAATTTCATTTCTGAACTCCCATTGAGAGTGTAGGTGAGAAATAGACTCTGAATACTGGCCTGATCATTTTGCTGAATTACCCCCACCCCTTCTCTTACTGATGAAGTTGTCAAATGAATGTGCAAGTTGTTAAGCTTCACAGTGGCTACTTCAGAGTTTGGAGTTTGTCCTCATGGAGCCAATGACGATGCGGAACCAAAATGCAACCCTGTGGAGTCTTGGCTCGTTCTGGCCTCCCGGATGCCCCGCTTCCCCGCTGGGCTGCTGGGCGAAGATTCTCCTCAGAGAAAAAGGAGGGAGCATCACCTGAGGAGAATCGCTGCCACCGCTAGGTTGCACACTGGTACCTCATAGAGGCCTCTGGGGAGGAGACGGTGGCGAGGGAGAAGGGGAAGCCCTGGCAGCTGCACTGGGCGAGGAGGGGTGTGTGCTGGGGCTGTTGCCGTCGCTTCGCTGCTTCTCTCCCCCACCCTAGCTCGCCTATCTCTAAATCACACCTGTTCATCACCACACGTGCTCCGTTCCCCGTGCCACCCTGAAATGGGCTTGTCCTTGGTAGAGAGCGTGCGTGGCAGGCTCCTCTCCATAGCTGCTGTCAGTTGCTGCCACCAGCAGGCCCAAGCAGGACAAACCATTTGGGAAAGGATGGGGGGGGGATAAGATAAGGAGGAGAAACAGAGGCATCTCGGCTTGCTCTCGCCTCCCAGATAGTTTTTCCGGCAGAGCTGCCTGTGTTGGGATGCCCCAAGGATGCCCCACATCCCTCCGCCCAGCTGGGCTTCGTGGGTGGGCTGCTCCTGGACTCGTCAGCCTGTGGACAGATGTCAGATTTCCACCCTCCATCACCTGTTCAGGGGTTCCTTTCCCTCCCCTGGGGAGAGAGAAAGAGAGAGAGAGAGAGGGAGGGAAAGGCAGGGCATCCCAACACAGCTCTGCTGGAAAAGCCATCTGGGAGGGAGGTGAGTGTGAGCCGAGATGCCTCCATTCCTCCTCCTTACCTTATCCCCCCCCCATCCTTCTCAATTGGTTTGTTACGCTCACGCCCTTGAGAGGAGCCTGCCACGTGTGCTTTCTACTGAGGACAGGCTCACTTCTGCGGGGGGTGGGGGGGAGAGAACGTGTGGTGACAAAGAGGTGTGATTTAAAGAGACAGGCAGCGGCAACACCCCCAGCACACAGCCCTCCTTGTCCGGTGTGGCTTCTCCTTCGTCATGGGCTCCAGGAGGAGGTGGGGATCCCATCTCCCCCATTCGGAAGTGGGCTAAATTTCATTGTGCTGCTGCGCAAGGCAGCAACAGCAAATGTAACGCGATGAAGGCGGAAGGCTGTTTCACATGGCATTTTTAGTCCCACAAACAATGGCGAGAAATGCAACGGAGCTGGGCTGGAGTGACCCCCCCCAGGGGAAAAAGAGAGGGTGAGAGAGGGAAAGAGAGAGGGAGGGAGGAAAAGAGAAAGGGGAAAGAAAAAAGGGGGGAGACAGGGAAAAAGGGAGGGAGGGGGAAAGGGGGAAGAGAGAGAAAGGAGAGGGAGCAGTAAAGAGAAAGAGGTAGAAGAGAAAGAAGGGAAGGAGGGAAAGAGATTGAGAGAGGGGAAAGAGGTGGAAAAGAAAAAGGAGGGGAAATATATCACAAGTTTTTCTTTTTTATTGTTGCTAAATGTAATATTTCAAAAGCAGGAAAAAAGGGGGCATAAAAGTGCATTTATCACATTTTTATTAGAACGATTAGCTGAACTCTGCCTTGTTTATCATTATTTTAGGTCGTAAAACCTCATTATTCAGGTTAAATTGCCATGTTGGCACTTTGCGATAAATAAGTGGGTTTTGGGTTGCAGTTTGGGCACTTGGTGCTGAAAAGGTTCGCCACCACTGCCATAGGCCATTCCTCCCCCATAGGGTCTCCACTTCTACTGGATCCCTGCAATCCTTAGGCCTGACTCCCACCTACTAGGCATCCCAGTCTCCTCCTCCATACCTTTTGAAGATTTCTGAATCTCATGTGGGGAAAGAGGACAGGACATACATCTCTGGGCTGTGTGACTGCCTTATGGAAAGAGCCGTTATTTTGATTGTGCCCAAGATTCATCCCTGGACCATGCAGTGGACTTGTGGAAGGAGCTGCCATTTTGCCATGGCTGCCTCTATGTCAATATGGTGGCTGTTTCTGGGTCACTGGGAGTGGGACAAACTGTTCTGTTTTGCTACCTTAACACTGTAGACTGTGTTAAGGAGTTGTGGGTGCACTGAAAATGGTGGCTGTCTCCAGGAGATCTCCAAAAGGGCAGTATTATGCTGCAGCTGCCAATAAAAGTCAATGCAGTCCTAAATTGTATCAACAGAGGAATAATGTCAAGGCAACAAGAAGAGATAGAATTGCTTTATGCAGTGCTGGTGATACCACACTTAGAAAGAGCCTTGGTAGTACAGAGGTTTAAGGCACCCTGTTATTAAGCTGGTTATTAAGACCAGCTGCCTGCAATTACTGCAGGGTTCGAATCTCACCAAGGCTCAAGGTTGACTCAGCCTTCCATCCTTTCTAAGGTAGGTGAAATGAGGACCCAGTTTGTAGGGGCAATAAGCTGACTTTGTATAAATATTCAAAAGGATGAAGGCTATTGCTGAGCACATTGTAAGCCGCCCTGAGTCTTCGGAGAAGGGCGGCATATAAATCAAATAAAAAAAAAAAAATACTGTGTCAAGTGCTGGTCACCATGATATAAAAATGTTGAGACCCTGGAAAATGTGCACAGAATAGCAACAAAGATGATAAAGGGTCAATAGGAGGGACATTATAGCTGTCTTCCAATACTTGAGCTTACCATATTTTTTGGAGTATAAGGTGTGCCTTCTCCCCCCCAAAGGGTGAAAATCTGGGTGCCTCTTATATTCCGAATGTAGCCCCACCCAACCTCTCAAACGGAGGTTTCAGGGGCTGAAAAAAGCCGCTAAAACTGAAATGGAGTTTCAGAAAAAAAAAACCTTTGAAACAGAGCTTCAAAAAAAAAAAGCCTCCAAAAAAACTTCAGAAAAAAAGCCTCTGAAATGGCAGGAAAAAAAGCCTCTGAAACAGAGGTTTCAGAGGCTGGAAAAAAAGCAAGGAGCAGAGCTCACAATCAATGAACCTGTTGCTAAAATTCACTACTGAGAAAAGCTGATTGGCGGTATTCTGGGAGGCCAATCCATCCGCCAATCAGCTTTTTTCTTATTTTCTTCCCCAAAAACTAAGGTGTGTCTTATATTCCGATGAGTCTTATAGTCCGAAAGAGTAATCTCTTCTAGGGCATCAGACAGCAGGACAAGAAGTAATGGGTGGAAGCTTGTTAAAATGAGGCCTAACCTAAAATATAATTGGTTTTGTCAGTGAGAGCAATTAATCAATGCAATAGCTTGCCTCCAGGTTTTGTGGGTATTCCATGAGGTTTTCAAGCGTAGGCTGGACAACCATTTCAGAGGGATGGTTTAAGTGTCCTGCCTTGAGCAGCAGGTTGAATTAGAAAACCTCCCATTAGAGTCCCTTCCAAGTCTATAATGCCTTGATGGCGAACCTATGGCACGCGTGCCACAGGTGGCACGCGTAGCCATATCAGTGGGCACCCCAGCTCAGCTCCAGCACGCATGCCAGCTGATTTTTGGGCCTTCTGGGCCCACCAGAAGTAGGGAAACAGGCTGTTTCCTGCCTCCAGAGGGCCTGGAATGGGTGGGGAAGGCCCATTTTTCTTTCTTACCTGGATCCAAATCCTCTCTATGTATCTGGGGAGGGCGAAAACAGCCTTCCCCATCCCTCCAGAGATCCTCTGGAGGCCTGAAATGGCCCACATAGAATTATGGGTGTGGGCACACATGTGCGCGAACCTCCCCCGCCCCCCTCTTCCTGGCATGCGATGGCAAAAAGGTTAGCCATCACTGCTATAATGCAATGTTTCCATGAATTTAGAGACAGTTTAGAAAATAGCGAAAGAGCAGCCCCATGAACTTGCTTCTTGTAAAGTGGCTTTTTTGAAAAAGAAATTATTTTATTCAGAAAATTAATATAAATAAATCTCCAAAAAATACCCACAAAATTTTAAAAACAAAGATAGACACATTTTAAAAGAAAGAAAAAAATGTGTATTAAAAAGATAAAAACAGATTTACATATATTATCTATGTATTATCTATCTACTATATAGAGAGGCAATGCCAGATCCCTAACATGATACTGCCATTCAAATGGAGGGAGGGGGGAGCATGAGGATAAGATATCCTTTATAACCTTTTTCCTGGTGCCTAAGCGTCCTGCAATATTCCCACCTTTTTTGGAATTTAATTTCTCATCTTTTCATCTCATCTTCACACCTGTGGATTGGCTGAATCCACATTTGGACTAAAGGGAGGGATTCTAAAGCCCTATTTCTAACTCTATAGTTTGGGAGGGAATTTAGAGTCTGCTTCGCCTTGTCCTGCTATCCCTTCTTCTCAATAAAAGGTTCCTTTTGAAATACCACATTTCAAGAGTCTATACTTTCTTGGGAAAGGAGGAGAGGTAGGGCCTTATGGGTAAAGTAGTTAACAGGTGAACCAACAAAGTTAAAACAGGAAAGCATTAATACTCTAGTTTTCTATCTAACTTTTATAAAGTCTAGAACGGATTCTTATTTACCATAAGTCATCATAATCATTGTCTCTGATCTTTCTGGGATGAAATATCTTTGTTTGATTCTTACGAATTAAACTTTTTCTTAAGATTTTGGTTGAGAGCCATAAAACAACAATTGTGTCTTATTCCTCAAAATCATAAACTTCTGTTGTCGATCCATTTTCCCCAAAGAGTCCAGTCCAAATAGTTTTCCAGTTAGATATAGCATGTCCATTTCCCAGTTACCACCAACTTCATCACATCAAAGTCCAGTTCATCAGCCATTGAGTCTGTTCACTCCAAATGTGTACAATCCACATCCACTTCAGCCTTCTCCAACCAACCAGCAGTTTCCAAACCTTAGTGAGGAGGCTTTTAAGAAGTGTCTGCTCCCCATGGGAGCTTCTTGGGAAGAGCTCAGGCTCACAAAGGGATTCCTTTGTGTGTGCTCATAATCCCAAACGCCTCCATCAGTCCCAGAGGAAGGGGACCTCCCAGAACAGAAATGTTTTCTCTCACCACGATCCTTCACATCCTTCTGGATATGAATTATTTCCTCCCTGTGATGCTTCCAGCAAATGACATCCAGTGCACATGGCTTTTTGTTCCTGTGTGTAATAGAGCTAGTCCTCTCTTACCATTTGTCTCCTGTAGTAACCATTGAAGATTATGATGGTATGGGAAAAAAAACAGCTTTGCAAACAAACATTGTATTTTAAAATATCGAATTGTCCCATAATCATGTGTTAGCCATTAGCATGCTTCCCAACCAGCCAAGCAAAGTTCATGGAGAAGACAGAAATGAAATCACTAGCAGTCAGGTGATGCCTCACTTAATGTCCGCAGTGATTCATTTAACAACCATGGGCAAAATGAGGTCAAAAAGCCTGTTGCAATCAAGGGCAATTAAATGCTGTTTTTTCAATCATAACCCTCTTTAATTCTGACTTGATAATCTGCTTCTTATAGTCCAGTTTGATAAAAATCTTCCCTTTTGCCAGGTGTGCTAGCATGTCCTTCGTTAGGGGCAGCAGGTAAAAGTTTTGAACAGATATAACATTTAGGTCTCTATAGTCTACGCACAGACAAAGGGACCAATCCTTTTTTTTTCCTGGAACAAGACTGGGGCTGCCACCCTGGGTTGAGCCTTTTTAATTTTTGTCTATCAAAGTCCTCCAGTTCCCTAGGAGTCATTGAATAGATGCTCCAAACTCTGCTGAAGATGTTACCTAGCCTGATAAAACATTCAGAAACCAACCCACAAGTTCAGAGAACGAACCTTCACCCTCAGTCATTAAATGAAGTTTGGATTTAGGCAGTTCAGCACCTAGCACGAGTACTATGGAGCAGTCCGTTGGCCAGTGGGGTGGGAGCTCATCTGAGCGCTTCTCGCTAAAGATGTCCCACAAGTCCCAGTACTCCTAAGGAATGCTAGGATCAGCCTTTCGCTCTTGCATTACTGCTCCCACCTCCTGCCTTGGCTTTGGGGTCCCTTCCCAGGTCTCCTTTTGCTTTAGTCCTCTGGATTTTAAGCAGCTGCTTCCTCCAGATCACATAGGGGTCCATTTCCATAGCCGTGCTAATCCTAGTACCAGGGGTCTTTACATATCCAGCGCTATGATGAAACTGGGTCTCTGTGTGGTCCCCCATCTGCATTTCTATCAGCTCAGTGACGAATGTCACTAGAATCCCTGCTACAGATCGGTCTAGCTGGCAAAATGCAACTGGCACCTTGATTGGTCTAAATCTCATCCCCAGCTTCTCAACCAGGGCAGGCTTGACTAGGCATCTGGTGCACCTTGAGTCCAGAAGGACCGCTAAATTGGCTTTTTGTCCTGAGGATTGGACTACGAGTTCAATGGAGGCTGTCACCAGAGTGATTGGGCCACTTACAATGAGTCGTCATTGGAGTTGGTGTCACTCTCCCCAGGACCCTCTGCTGGGCTAATTGGAGTCATCTCGCCATCTTTGGGGAATGGGGTGAACTCTTATGACCTCAACTCTTTCCAGGGCTGTTTTGTGGGCTCCTGGTGACAGCTTGGTGGGCTCTTTGGTAAAACCCCAGGGTCACCTTTGGGCAGGATGACTGGATTTGCATTTGGTGGCCTGGTGGCCCACCTTCTCACTTGAAGCAGGCGGTGGAACGTCACTGGGAGCTCTCCACTGGGAAATATCCATCCCAGGTGGTGTGGATGAAGCCTCCCATCAGAATTCAATCTCTTTTTGATCTCTCCCTTGATCTTCCATAAATGGGCCATGGCCTATTTGGAACCGAGCTGTGCATGAGGTGGGCCAGTGGACGCGCACAGCTCCACTCATGCGAGCATCAGCGCAAAAACTTCTCTCTTGTGTGAGTGGAGCTCGAGCGATCCTATTCCCTTTTCTCTCCCCCCATCACACAATCCAGGCTGCTAAGCTTCCTGCTCTCAATGCTCCAAACACAGAATGGGGAGAGGAGAAGCTGAATCTGACAGGTCAGCCCTGCTCAGCTTTGCTGACTCCCCAAAGCTTTGGGTGCGGAGAAGCCTGAACGGGTGCAAAATTACACCCCAAACATTTCTCTCTTGCATGAGGTGAACTATATTGAACTATAGTTCAACTATAGTGAACTATTAATGGGGTGGCGCATACGAACACCACATGCGCCACCCCATTAATCACACGGCCTGGTTCCTCTCCCACCCCACAACCAGGCCACCAAGATGCAAAGGGTGGAGACCACTGCTCTGATGTACCACCCAAGTCAGAATTCCGACTTAAACTTTTTCCACACTCTGAACACTCATTCAGCTTCCCTCATTTGTGAGTCCCCTGGTATCACCAGGTTGGAATTGTAACTGAACCTTTTCCCACACTCTGGACACTGGTACAGTTTTTCTCCTGTATGAGTTCTCTGGCGTAATACCAGGTTGGAATTATAACTGAAACTTTTCCCCACAATCAGGACATTCAAAGGGTTTCTCCCTGATGTGGGGCCTCTAGTCCAGGGGTGTCAAACTCACGTCGTCATGGTGGGGTCACTTGACGTATCAGGATTTTCCCCTTTGCTAAACCGTGCGTGGGCATGGCCAGCGCATGACACATCCGGCCTGCGGGGTGCGAGTTTGACAGCCCTGCTCTAGTCTGTCACCAGGTTGGAATTATGAGTGAAACTTTCCCCACACTCTGGAGACTCATGTGGCTTCTCTCCAGTGTAAATCGAACACCTTAGAACACTAACTAAAACTTTTACTGCATTCTAGAAACTCATGACATTTGTCTGCTGTGTGAGTCCTCTGATATATGACCAGGTTGAAATTCGGTCTGAAACTTTCCCTACACTCTGAACACTTAAATGGTTTCTGTCCTGTGTGAGTCCTCTTTTCACTCATGATGTGGGAAATCTTACAGAGACTTTTCCTACACTCTAGACACTCATGTTTTCTCTCCTGTGAGTCCTCTGGTGTGTCACAAGGCTAGAATTCTGACTGAATCTTTTCCCACACTCTGGACACTCATATGGTTTCTCTCCTGTGTGAGTCCTCTGATGAGTCACAAGGCTGGAATTCTGACTGAAACTTTTCCCACACTCTGAACAATCATACGGTTTCTCTCCTATGTGAGTTCTCTTATGTGTCACCAGGTTGGAATTCTGACTGAAACTTTTGCTACAGTCTGGACACTCATATGGTTTCTCTCCTGTGTGAGTCCTCTGGTGTGTCACTAGGCTGGAATTCTTACTGAAACTTTTCCCACACTCTGGACACTCATATGGTTTCTCTCCTGTATGAGTCCTCTGGTGTGTCACTAGGCTGGAATTCTTACTGAAACTTTTACCACACTCTGGACACACATATGGTTTCTCTCCTGTGTGAGTCCTCTGGTGTGTTACCAGACTGGAATTCTTACTAAAACTTTTCCAACATTCTGGACATTCATACAGTTTTTCTTCTATATGAGTCCTCTTGTGTGTCACTTGGCTGGAATTCTGACTGAATCTTTTCCCAAAATCAGGACTTTCATACGGTTTCACCCTGTTGTGAGTCCTCTGATGTGTTATGAGTTGGGAATTCTTACTGAAACTTTTCCCACACTCTGGACACTCATATCGTTTATCTTCTGTATGTGTCCTCTGATGTTTCACCTGCTTAGAACTGCTACTGAAACTTTTCCAACAATCTGGACACTGATATGGTTTCTCACCTGTGTGAGTTCTCTGGTGTATCACCAGGCTGGAATTGTGACTGAAACCTTTTCCACAATCCGGACATTCAAACGGTTTTTCTCTTGTGTGAGTCCTCTGGTGTGTCACCAGGCTTGAAATCTGACTGAAACATTTCTCACAGTCAGGACATTCAAAGGGTTTCTCTCCTGTGTGAATCCTCTGGTGTATCACGAGATGGGAATTCTGACTGAAACTTTTCCCACAGTCAGGACATTCAAAGGGTTTCTCTCCTGTGTGAATCCTCTGGTGTATCACCAGGTGGGAATTCTGACTGAAACTTTTCCCACAATCAGGACATTCAAAGAATTTCTCTTTGTGAGTCCTCTGTTGACTCATGAGGTGGGAATTTCTAATGAAACTTTCCCCAAAAACTGGACACACACTTTCTCCTTGGTGTGAGTCTTGTGATATACCATAAAGTAGCTGTACTTAGTAAAAGCACTTACCACAGCAAGTGCATTTGTAGGGCATCTGTCCAGGGATGAAATTCACTTACCTTCCCTACTGGCTCGCAAATGTGTGCACAGAGGCTGAAAAGTGTCGCAAAAAGGGATGTCATTACGTGGGTGGGCAGGGGCTTCGGGCAGTTGGCCCTACCGACTCGCGTGAGCCAAATAGACCCGGCTGTATTTCACCCCTGCATCTGTCCTGTGTGTCTCTTTCCATGAATCACAAGAGAGCTGTTTAGACTAAACCTTTTGTTACATTGGTAGCATTTCTATGGCTTTTCGACAGCGTAGATCCTCTCGTGCATAATCAGTTGTGATGTACTATCTGTGCTTTTCCCACAATAGGCACATCTATGGAGCTTATCCATCACTGATATTGAGGAGGTCAAAAATATGGAGAATCCCTTGTTTAGTTTGATTCAAACTGTTTTTTTTCTCACATATAGAGGCCTGTGTTACTGTCGGCTCTACATGGCTGTCTTAATTTACCTTTTTCTGTTCACTGACTTCCAGAAATATCCCTTTTTTCTGAATGAAAAATAATCTCCCTTGATCTTTCATGTAATGTATCCTTGAGTTTTGTATGCTCTACTTTTTGCAGTTTGAAATCTCTTCTTGATTTTCTCTCATTTCTCTCTCACCTGCTAAGAACAACTTTGTGGTTTTCTGAAGGAAATGGAAACTACTTTTGATTTCTTTCCTGATTCGCTTTCCTTTTCAATGTTGCTTGTTGTCCTCAATTGTCTGGAGTGCTCTTATTGGCATCTTCTTTGTCTATAAGATTCAAAGAAAAGTGTAATTTTAATTGTTTATAAAATGGTTGCAGAAGATGTGGAAAAAAGAAAGAAGTATGCATTACAATGAATAAGCAAACACGCCACAATACAAGAATAACATTTTACATCAATTATGATTCATTTGACACATGGAAGACTACTGAGATCCAAGATCAAATATCCATTCAGTCCTGAAATTTTTTTTGACTTGGGTCAATCACAAATTCTTAGCCCCACAAAGGCTAAAAATAGGGAGTAGAGAATGACAGGTGATGAAGTCCAGAGAACCTCAGTACCAGTTTGCATCAGAATCCAAGGCCAGGCACCCTGAGAAAGAATGCCTATTATTCCAAAACATCTCAGAGTTCTGAAAACATTTTGGTGAGTTCCGATTGATGGAGACAGACTGGTCATGGGGGAAGGGCTGAGATGAGGGGAATCCTTTCTGTATTTTTTGGCTTACAAAATCCAGAGCTAGCCTGACCTTATTGCAGTCAACATCTTTTTACTAAAATAACTTTTTGCTTCAACCCAGTGGAGTTGAGGGTCTTTCTTTCCTAAGGGATAAGATTGGGACAGGTCTGACAACTGCTTTTGAGCCAAGGTCAAGGTCCTTTTCAAAACTGGAGAGCTATGGGGGCAAAATAAGCACTTAGCAATAGCACTTAGACTTATATACCACTGCATAGTGCTTTTACAACCCTCTCTAAGCGGTTTATAGTCAGCATATTGCCCCTAATAATGGGTCTTCATTTTACCCACCTTGGAAGGGTGGAAGGCTGAGTCAACCTTCAGCCGGTGAGATTTGAACTGTCAAACTACAGCTAACAGTCAGCTTAAGTAGCCTGCAGTAATGCACTCTATTCACTGCGCCACCTTGGCTCATTAAAATGTTCATTTGAATGTTCATTCTTTTGCCTGTATCCTACGCCAAGGAACTTTTAAAAATTATTTTTAACAGTACTTAAATATGTGGGAACGTATGTGTGTAATGCCCTTGGCATTAAACTTAGCGAACTGTTTTGTATTAAAAATGATCAGTTTAGACCAGTGGCCTCCAACTTTTGGGCCCAGGGGCCCAGTTCCGTGGTGACTTTTCCATGTACCAAAGGGTTTTGCATGCTACCTGCATCCCACATTTGGGGCTTCGCTTGTTTCTGCAGCCCAGTCGCTGACATGCCACAGCCCAGTGTCGGTCCAAGGACCAGGGGTTGGGGGATCCCTGATCTAGACAGATTTATCCTTTCAAAGCACTTGGGGAAAATTTTTTAAATGTTATCTAATTTTAGGTTCTATTTAATTGGGCCAAACTATGTTATAATAATAATTTTAATTAGCAATTTTATGATGTTTGTGTATCTATATTTTTCTTGACCGTACACCGCCTTGAGTCCTACGGGAGAAAGGCGGTATAGAAAATAAAAAAATAAATAAAATAAAATAAAATAAAATAAAATAAAATAAAATAATAAAATAAAATAAAATAAAATAAAATAAAATAAAATAATAAAATAAAATAAAATAAAATAAAATAAAAAAATAAAAAGACTTCTTCCCTCCTCTTTAAAAAAAGCCCAGTCAAAATACCATCATCTATGTTCCAGGCTGAAGTTAATAAGTTCTGAAGTGCTCCAAGGATTACATTATATTAAAATATTTTCAGAAATCTCTAGAGAAAAGGAAAGCGAAAATGGAGAGTTCTGTGCCTTAGACAGACACGAAATTTGGAGAAAAACTGAACATTGGAAAGGGAAGGTTGCAATGGAATAACTAGAAGGTGGAAGGATTGGCTGGATACACTATAAACAGAAACTCTCCACAGGGCATTTTATTCCAACAACTTTGGAGCTCAACCAACCTGCCTCTTGTGCACACCAGTCTCTCTTCCCCAAAATGCTCTGCGGGCAGTTAATTATTAGAGCTCCCAGGTCTCTTCCTTGGCCTGACAACCTTTTTTATCTTTCTAAATGCAGCACTACCCCTGGAAGGGCCGCTGGTGTCCTTGCCCTCGATATGGCCGCAGGTCTACACTGGTCCCTCGGTCAGGCACCTCTAACTGGCCTGGGTCGTGTAGTGTCGTAGTGGTCAGCCTCCTCTCAGCAGGCAGGACACGTGGTGGGGTGACGGTCAGTCTTTTCCCAGCCGGTGGGTCACAGGATGAGATGGTCTTCATGCGACTGGTGGGACCTTCATCCTTCCTTTCGCTCTCTCAGCAACCGAGGAGGAGGAGAAGCGGCGGCGCAGAGGTTCCCACGGGAGCAGAAAAGCTTGCAAGGAAAGGCGGAGAGTCGGAAGGGGAGGGGGGCGCAACTGGGGAAACCCCCACCTCGCTCTCCTTCCCTCCCCCAAGGAATCCCTCCTCCCTTCCCGCACCTGGGGATTCCCCCCCTCCTCCTGGTCCCCTCCCCCTCTTGGGGCGTCTTTGTCCACCTAGCGCCCCATCTCCGCAGCCCTGGCTTAAGAGTTGCTGGGAGACCAGGAAAGCGGGCAGGAGGGGGGCCTGCAACTGCCTCCCAGCCCCCTTTTCTGCCTCCCCGCTAGGCGCAAAAGGTCTCTGTTTTTAACCCCTTCACTAAAGCGCTGCAATCAAAACTGTTTGATTGGGAGCAACCTGTTTAGGGCTAAGGGAGGTTTCAAGCAGCAGTTATTTATTTTTATCTCTGTACCTGTTGCTCTTTTTTTTTTTAAATTTGATTTATATGCCGCCCTTCTCCGGAGACTCAAGGCGGCTTACAATGCGTTAAGCAATAGCCTTCATACTTTTGTATATTTATACAAAGTCAGCTTATGGCCCCCACAATCTGAGTCCTCATTTTACCTACCTTAGAAAGGATGGAAGGCTGAGTCAACCTTGAGCCTGGTGCTAATTGACTCTGCACTGAAGCTCCCTACTGTTTATAGTTTGGAGTCTCACAAAGACAAGCCTTGGGAGAAGCACCCGGCCCTTAGAATTTCTGTTTACAGCTTGCTGTAATTTTGGAACTCTACTCCTGCAAAAGGTGGGTTTTGAAAAGTATCTTTGGGGGAGCAGCTTGAGTGCTACATCTAGAATATCCAGTTTGTTCATACTTGACTTAGATGAAGAGCTTGAAAGGGAACTCATCAAATTTACAGATGACCCCTAGCTGGGGGGAAATAGCCAACAGTTTAGAAGATAAGCCCAAGATCCAGAAGGGTCTTGACACACGTGAGCACTGGGCCCTTTCCAGCAAAATGCAATTCAAGTGGTGAGAAAAATAAAAGGCAAGAAAAGCCAAATGCACATCTATAGAAGAGGTTGTATCTGGCTTAAGAGCAGGAACTATGAGAGGGACCTAGAAACAATTACATTTTTTAAAAAAATTGATTTATATGCCACTCTTCTCCGGAGACTCAGGGCGGCTTACAATGCGCTAAGCAATATGAGCTGGGGGTGTGATGTAACTGGCAAAAACGTCAATGCACTCCTAGTCTGCAGCACCAGAGGGATAGTGTCAAGATCACCTGAAGTGTTAGTACTGTAGTATACTGTATAGTTAAGACTACACTTTGAATACTGCATCCAGTTTTGATCACCAGGATACAAAAAATCTGTTGAGACTCTAGAAAAATTGCAGAGAAGAAGAACAAAGACATTTACACATTTCACTATTTCACTTGGCTCAGCTGCAAAGATAGGTTGCTACGAGTCTGAAAATGACTTGGTAGCAGGTAATCAGTGAGAAGGTCTGGCCAATGCCATGGGTAGAGAAGGGACAAGCCTGTTTTTTGGCCTCCTACCGCTAGATGGCAGCATCTTTGACTAGAAAGCCAACAATAGAACAGCGGCCTCTCTGGTTGATCTTCAAGGAGTTAAAGCCATCGAGTACTGCATTGCTAAAAAGGAGGAGAAGCACAGAGGAACTTCCTTTTCCGGAAAGGAACACGAGGTTAGAGTGGAGTGCAGAGAGGCTCTGTCGCTTATTCCAAGGATGGAAGCATCAGCTGGAAGGTGAGTTGAGGGCAGGTCGGAGGGGAATCCGGGAGCAACTCAGGCTGTTTGGTTCCCTCCACGGCCTGGAAGCAGAGAAGCAACTAGAGTGTGGAAGAACAGTTGGAAGGGATCTTTGAGGTCATCTAGTCCAGCCCCTTGCTCCAGCAGGAGACCTTATACATTTCAGGCACATGGCTGTCCAGTCTCTTCTTCAAAGCCTCCAGAGATGGAGCAACCACAGCTTCTGCAGGCAAACTGGTTAATTCTTCTCACAGTCAGGAAATGTCTCCTTGTTTCCAGGTTGCTTCTCCCCTTGATTCGTTTCCATCCATTGTTCCCTGTTCTGCCTTCAGATGCTCTGGAGAAGAGGTTGAGCCCCTCTTCTTTGTGGCAGCCCCTCAAATATTGGAAGACTTCTATCATTTCACCCCTCCTCCTTCTCTTTCTCTTCTGTAGACTAGACATACCCAACTCCTGCAACCCTCTTTATATATTTTAGCTTTGTTGGAAGAAATATCCTTCTGGGTTCTGTTCCAAGTGCGGAAAAAGACTGTAGGAAGTTAGCACCCACCCCTTTCCTCGAAGAGTGAAATATTTTAGGAAATATGAAAAAGGCAGAATATTATATTTCCCTGGGATAAGCATGTTTTGAAGCAGCTCCCATCTTCCTGCCCCCACCCTTTGTCAATGGGCCATTAAGGCCTGGCCAGTCTATTCTACATAACAAAGATCTACCTCCTTCAGGCAGAGCCATAGTAGGAATTGCCAAACTCCAACAAAGATAGGATTAGCTCTCTACACAATAGCAGCAGAAACTCACCACATGTGACCTGGGAAGTACATGTGACCATCAGCCAGCAAGGCCCCCACCCCCTGGGAGTCTGACAACCAATCAGGATACTCTTCTGGGGCCCCAAGAAATGCAGAGCCAGAGAGAGCATAAAAACCCGAGGATTTTCTGTATCTGCCCCCTTTTTCTGTTCAGGAACTCAAGCCATGTGATCCTGTCCACCATTAAACCATCTTTCCAAGCAGCCTCCATGTCTCCAGTGTCTTTTTCCCCACTTGGAGCAGAACCTAGAAGGATGTTTCTTCCAACAAGACACTGGAAACATGGGGACTGCTTGAAAAGGTGGTTTAGTGGTGGATTACATGGTTTGAGTTCCTGAACAGAAAGGAGCCCAGATGTTGAGTGTGCTTTGGTTTGTAGGAAGTTAGCACCCACCCCTTTCCTAGAAGAATGAAATATTTTAGGAAATATTAAAAAGGCAGAATATTATGTTTCCCTGGTTGAGAAATGGAGAAACATGTTTTAAAGACAAAGCAACTCCCACCTTCCTGCCTCCCCTCCCCCCGCCTTTTTTTTTAATGGGCCAGAGGCAGAAACTCAATCTTTGACAATAGGACAACCAATCAGGATACTCTTTCTGGGCCCCAGGAAGTTCAAAGCCAGAGAAAGCATAAAACCTGGGGACTCGCTGTATCTCGGCCCCTTTTCTGTTCAGGAACTCGAACCATGTGATCCTGTCCACCATTAAACCATCTTTCCAAGCAGTCTCCAAGTTTCCAGTGTTTTTTTCCCCACTTGGAGCTGAACCCAGAAGGATATTTCTTCCTACAGGTTTTTATGCCCTGTTATGTTTTCGTGGCAATAATAATGCACTGATCTGCCACTGTGTCTTTTTGATTTTTTACTTCCATTTCTAGCCCAACAAGCACGGTATTTCCTATTGGTGCCCCATCCATGTATTAACCAGGTTCAACTAAAAAGGTCCTATTGAGGACCTTTTGGGGTGTTCAGTTTGTATAGGTAGTCCTTGCTTACCATTTGTTTCATGAGCCTTCAAAGTTACTATGGCTCTGCAAAAGCAAATGAAGACCTCGTCCAGAAATCTGTGTTCAGCATAGCACTTCTTCAGTGACCTGAACAAGTCAGCAGTTCTTGTGGTTATGAAGATGCAAGAAAAGGAGTTGCATCAATTTTGGTTCTGCCAACCTGTACACATTCATGATGGTTGCAGCATCCCACACTCAGGATCGCGATTTGTGACCTTCCAAGCTAGCTTCACACAAGGAAAATCAGTGGGGATGCTGGCAGGAGGTTGCAAGCCACAGTTAGGTGAAATTGCCTCTAGAACCCACAACTGCAGAGGACCAGATGTAAGTTGGCGCTCTCACATGACATCATGCTTCATGATCAAGCTGCTTAGTGATACAGATGCCATTCCCAAATGCAGTCAGTAAGTGAGGACTACTTGAATGTGGACATCACCAGAGTGGTTGTGGAAAGTATTTTCTGCCCTTATTTGGTTCTCACGACTTCCAAGGGCAAAACGGGTGCTTCAAATCTTGCAGAGGCTTTAGCCATCCTTTCATCAGTTAAAGCCCCACATCTCTAAAAGTAGTTTGAAAGATTTGACTCTAATCATTTTGGAACATTTTTCAGGCTGAAAATACATGGATTTTCCAGATACATAAATTTGTAGGTGTCTTTATTTGTACTTTTCTCTTTATGCATATATCTACAATTGTATAGTCTATTCCCAGCACTTCCAGATATACTGTATTTCATTTATTGGATTTATATACCACCCTACTCCCGAAGGACTCATAATAACCCTTTGGAGTGATAAGAATTTAGGGTTTTTTTCTTCACAAAAAAATTTATTAATTGATCAAAATACAAAATAGAGAAGTGTAAAGAAAAATGAACATAATGCTAAAAGAAGGGAGGAAAAGGAGCGAGAAAAGTGTAGGGTTAAGGGAGAAAGAAAAAGAAAAGCATTGACTTCTGACTTCTTTTGCTGCACTAGATTAAGGTACTAATATAAAACCTCAACTATTTACTTTTATATGATAATATAAAGTAGCCACTTTTATAACAACAAATTTATCTAATCTAGAAACCCAAAATCAATTTAATTTTTTTTCTCTCAAGAACAAAGTCCAAAAGCAGTTTCCACGTACAAACAAAATTAATCAAAGCAGTGAATTTAGCCATCTCTGCTAACTCCCATCAGGTTCTGCAGCCATTCATCCATTGCGAGAATGAAAATATTCTTCCATTTTTTCCATTCATATGACATCAATGTTTTTTCAAGTTTTTTATTCATAAAGCCTAAACTAAACTATCTGCTTTTCTCTTCATGTTCACTTTAATAGCCTTCTGTATTAAGATGTGTATCATACTCCAACATTTTTTTGCTTTGTCAGAAGTCCACCATAAATGGTAAAAAGCTCATCTTTATATTTCCAAAATTCTTTCCCTTTATATCATTCCCTAGCCATATCATACCACAAATACTTGTGCCATTAAAATCTAATTCATGGCCCTCTCTGTCAAGTAACCTCTTAATTTGAAGAGTCACTCTTTTTGCCTGACAAAACAACAAAGATCAAAGTACAATTTGAAA